CAACTGTTTGAATGAAGCAACTGTTTGAATGAAGTTTGAATGAAGCCTTACTAGAAGGATCACCAGGTGAAATTTAAAGTGATTTGTGAAGTTTATATTTTTTATAATTAAAATCATAAACCGGTGAATACTGTGCAATGGTATTGCAAACCTCCTTTTCTGGGATCCCTGCCGATGATCTGGGCTCCTCCTCTTCTGTGTTTGCCCCTATAGCAAGCCACTTGTTATGGGGGCAGGTGTGTGGGCTCACATGCAGAGAATGCATTAAAAGTAGTGTGAACTTGTGTGTGTTTTTTTTTTTTATTTTTTTATTTTTTCCTCATTTTAAACTTACCTAGGTGGATGCAGCATCGGTCCAATACTGCATCTGTCCCTTGCTGGCTCTAAAGGTGGGAATACACGATTAGAAAAGCGACCAATCGGTCATCCAACGTTCATTCGTTGGTTGAAATCATGGCCCACATTAACCAATCTAAAAAAATTGTTCGGGCAATGTACTATTGCTGTCTTCCGTACAAGTGGAAGTGATGCAGTGTGCGTGTGACCTTGTAGCCATGCCCTTCTGGCCAGAACGAGCGATATACACAGCAATTAACAGCAATGAGTATAATATAGTTTTACATGACCTATAAACATCCAGGTCATCTTCTGTTTCCGCTCATGCGTGATAGCGCTTGATAGATTTTTTTTCGTACAACTGCCATACCAACGCATAGAAAATCAGTCAATCGTATGCCAAACGACAAAATTTTTCACTGTTGTTCAACTGGATTTTTTTCATTCACAATATCGTTATCGGTTAAAACATCCTGCTTATCAATGAAGAGAAAATCGTTTGATCAGTGGTTCCACAAAACTTTTCAGACGATTTTCTTATCGTGTGTACGGGGGCATAAGTGTGAGAACTCGCCAATCACATGACTGCAGCTCTGAGCAGACCACTGTCTGCCACCCCCCCCCCCCCCCCCCCCCCCCCCCCCCCCCCCCCCCGAGCACTCACTGGAGATTTGGGCTGTATAGGGGGGAGAGAGCGGCTGGCTCAGGCTCTCAGCAAGGTGCTGCTCCAGACTCTGTACTGATCTGACTTTGAAGTCAGGATCTTTCCCCAACCTGGACCAGCTGAGTGATGCTGTCAACTGAAAACTGGTCACAGGAGTGCAGTTTGTTCAAACAGAACGGACTGCACTCCTATGATCCACAGAAGAAGTACAGCCAAAAGAGCTCTGGCTGTACTTCTCCTTTTTTAAGGTGAAAAACCTTTTTCGATTTTAGAACCACTTTAACCATTTCCTGACTGGCCCATGTAGGTTTACTGATACAGGGTGGTTTACTGATCCCCAGTAAAAGCAGCACACCATACACATACAAGCACTTGTTGGATACATATTTACCCCTTGATCGCCCTAGATGTTTACCCCTTCCTGCCCAGTGTCATTAGTACAGTGACAGTACATATTATTAGCATTGATCACTGTAATAATTACACTGGTGAAGTCAGTGGCAGTTGGTTCCCACAAAGTGTCAGTGTCAGATTGACCGCTGCACTATCACAGATCCATTAGAAGTCGTTGATTGCCAACATTACTAGTATAAAAAAAAAAAAAAAAAAAATTCTAGTATATAGCCCATAGTTTACAGATGCTACAACGTTCACACAAACCAATCAATATACACTTATTGGGATTATTTTTCTTACCAAAGACATGTAGCAGAAAACATTTTGGCCAACATTTGAAAAAATTTGATTTTTTTTTTTTTTTTTTTTTTTTTTATTGGATATGTTCTATAGCAAAAAAAGTAAAGAATATTGCTTGTCTGTCCTTTTTTTTTTTTTTTTTTTTTTTCTTATAATAAGATAGTCAGATAAAGTAGTGAAGCGCTGCATAGCAAAAAATGGCCTGGTCATGAAGGGGGGAGGGGGGGTCAATCTTCTGGAGGGCAAGTGGTTAAAGGAGACAGCCTGAAAAATAAAAAAAGTAGCCACCATCACAAGGACTGGTAAACTGCAATATACGCTCACCGGCCACTTTATTAGGTACACCTGTTCAATTGCTTGGTAACACAAATTGCTAATCAACAAATCACATGGCAGCAACTCAATGCATTTAGGCATCTAAACGCTGTGAAGATGACTTGCTGAAGTAAAAACCGAGCATCAGAATGGGGAAGAAAGGGGATTTAAGTGACTTTGAATGTGGCATGGTTGTTGGTGCCAGACAGGCTGGTCTGAGTATTTAAAAAAACTGCTGATCTACTGGGGTTTTCACACACAACTATCTCTAGGGTTTACAGAGAATGGTCCAAAAAAAAAATATCCAGCGATTGGCAGTTGTGTGGATGAAAATGCCTTGTTGAAATCAAAAATGGGCAGACTGGTTGCTGCGACATTCAGACGGTAGGGTCAGAATTTGGCATAAACAAGAAAGCATAGATCCATCCTGCCTCATATCAACAGTTCAGACTGGTGCTGTAATGGTGTGGGGGATACTTTCTTAACACTAGCAAGGTGCACCTAATAAAGTGGATGGTGAGTGCATTTAATTTTTGTTATTGGGTTTAGATGCACATATATGTTTTGAAATGTGAATTTCCCTGTATTATAAATTTAGGAAAAAAACTGATGTTCTTGTATCAAGTTGTGGGCCCACAATTTTCATCCTTCTAGTAAATGCCTGCTTAATGCTCTGAGACGTGTCTGATCTCGTCATACTGCAGACTTTTTATTTAATTAGCTAAGAGCCTCTTGGCTTGGGAGATGACCGTGATGTGGGAAATGTAGAACACCCACACACCCATGGCTTATATTGTATAAGACTTTTTTTCTTTTTTGAAAAAAAAAAAAAAAACAGTTTTAGTAAATTCTCCCCCATTGGATTTTGTGTCTATAAAAGCATTTTGCAAAACTTTGTCTCAGTTAATAGCAACTCACAGCAAACCTCTCAGGCAATGATCTCTCTTTTGGCTACCTGCTTTAAGCTGTAAATTATGGTCAAAAAGATACACACATATAAAAGACAAAATAGACATTATCTGGCGGTAAGATGCTGTGAGTATCGCCTTCTCATTTGCTGTATGTAAACTTATTAACATTCACACTGAAGTAAGAATTTTTAAAAAAAAAATTTTATATATATATATATATATATATAATATATATATATATATATAAATAATCTCAATAGCCACAAAGACTAAATTCGCTTTGTAGGTACCAAATGCTTTTGCAGTTCCTACCTTGTAAAAGTACCATACTTAGCCAGTGCAGACAGCAGAACTGTGTCAGGGGCCTTGCAGGTCCACCCACTACAGGTTACCCATAGAGAACTACAGGAGGGGGCGGAGACCAGACCAGTCACTCTGCACAAGGAAAGAGCATGGCAGTGACTGGTCTTTTTATTAGGAAACTCTTGCACAAAGTTAAATATACACACTGGATTTCTGCATGCATCTAGAAGAAATGCACAAAGCACACCAAGATTCAAGTAAATAATACACATGAGTTTAGACAATATTTGCTTATCAAGGAGTTCAACTTTAATAAGCATCTGTTGTAGTGATATATTAAAGCGATATACAAAGATTGGTAATTTCACTATTTGGCATTACTGTCTTGTCTAGATGGTGTTACACTTTATGTAGATCATTTATAGTTCATCTACACTGCATCAGTTCTATTCTGAATGGTCACGGATGGTCTTAAACTGGCCCTCTATGATTCTTTTAATGCAGATAGGTTTGGTTTTATTAAATGACAAAATACAGTTCCATTATGCAGTAATATTCTTTATTATAACAAAAGGATTATTGCCATTTTTTTATGTAAATGTTTTTTTCTCTATATATGGAGTGAAACATCAGCTTTTGATTCAAAATAAACAAAATATGATTTGCAATAAAATCCTAATGTTTTCTAGTGCATCTCAAAAGATGTCATCTAATGTAAGCTAAAGCTGAACTCCAGGCAAACAGATAAATGAAATACATATAAGGGAGCTGTTTTACCTGCCAAATGATTTGTATTTTTGTCCACCCTGTCAGCTCTGCCACATGCATAGTCCTTTCTAGCAGGGGAGAGGGAACCTGATCCTTTCACTTACTTACAGGTCCCTTCCTTACCTCCATCCTGTGACTGATACATCCTTAAAAAGAGAAGCTGCACACTGATCAGCTCATCTTTCTGTTAATCTGTACACTAAATTGACTTCTTGTGCTGCTTTTTCAGCCTCTCCTAGTCTGAGCTCTGTTGTACAGGGATTGCAAGAGGCTTATATCAAGGCAAATTCATGTACTTGCATTACTTGTATTAAAATAAAAAATGTTTAATGATATTTTCATGGTTACAAAGCTGCTTTAGTTTGTGTATTTTTTTTCTTTTTTTTTTTTTTTTTTTATATCTGCCTGGAGTCCAGTTAAGTGTAACTATGTTTTGTTTGCAGAGTTTAAACTTTTTTTTTTTTTTTTTGTCTCCGTATTAAATGGGATTTCCTATATACATTGTGTGTGTTTTGTGTTGTGTTTATCAAACCCTGGATCACCGCAGACACTAGTACCTGCCCCCATAGACTCCTTAGGATGCCGTGAAATCCTTGCCATCAATGTGGGAGGCAGTGACATCCTTGCCTTCCACCTTTCACGCTCCTTACTGCTTTTCTATTTTCAAACTGTATAACTTTACAAACTTGTCTTGTTGAGGCGCTTATTCATATTACATTGTAATGTCTCTTGTCTACAACTATGTTGACTGTAACTATCTTTTGCAATCTCCTTCCGTGTTGTAAATTCTGAAAACCTATTATTTAATAAAAATACTGAACACTAAAAAAAGGTTCCACTTTGCACCCAGTGTCTGTATACACAAAAGTTAAAAATTAACAGATTTTTTGACAAAGCTTCACCATAGACCATATGTATTTTCTCACAGAGAATTGACATTTTACAGTCCTTGTGGACTTAGAATGATCTCTTGGATCTTTTATGAATAAAAACAGCTTTTTCTTGTTTTACATTTTTGTTTCATTGTTTTCGGGGGCCTCTGGAATTTCCGAGACAACAAAGGCTAGATTATCATAGCCTTGGTTCAGCTTGGCTTGGGCATCCTTCTTATTGTGCATGCAAAAAGCACAGTGAGGTGTTTCCACCTCCACAGTTTTTCCAAAGTTACTGAAGTCTACTCGATATTTGCCTTCCTTGGTTTTGGACACAATTGGAGCAAAGCGATACCCCCAGAGCACCTCTTCGGGGATATAAGATGTGCGCACTTGACAAGTAGCACTTGTAGCTTCTACTGTTCCATCTAGAAACACCACCAACTCAAAATCATGCTGTAGAAGAGTCTCGGCTGACATCTCGTAGAATGGGCTGTTTTTATCGATAACATGGTAGATTGTCAATGGTGACACAAAGAAGAGGTTCTCATTTCCAGCATCCACTCTGAAATCAATGTTTACTTGATCTAAAATAATGGTCTCTCCCTCAGGTGTAACGGTGGTTTTCAGCAATTTACCATATATGTGGCCTCCTATCAGCAAGCTTTTCCTTAAATTTGCAACCCTTATAAGAAGGCAAAGTTTCCCACCTCGCTTGCTAATGACAGCATTTTTGCTGAAGGTTATGGTTTTTGCTCTTTTTTTGGGTCTAGAGATCTTGGCTAGGATGGCACCACACATAAATGAGTTAATTATCACTCCCAAGATGGACTGAATGACCAACAGAAATATGGCCATGCCACACTGCTCAGTCACACAACGGAACCCATAACCAATGGTCACTTGTGTCTCCAGAGAGAAGAGAAAAGCAGAGGTCAAACCATTAATATTCTCAACACAAGGGGTATAGTTTTGCGGAGGGTTAAATTCTGGAAGGTCCTTGTGTAAGTAGGCCACAGCATACCAAAGCAAGCCAAAGAAAAACCAGCTCCCTAGAAATGCCCGAAATAAAAACCGTCATCTTGTACCTCCATTTCAAGTCCAGAACAGTGGTCCAGATGTCCGCAAGAAAGGCGATTCTGGATTGCTCTTCCACATTGCCGAATTCAATGTTGCATCTTCCATCTTTGGACACCAGCCGTGCCCTGCGGCGGTGGCGCTCTATCAGGTGAATATTTAGCTTTTTCCGCAGGTAGGAAAGCATTCTGACATGAAGATTAATTCACCTGAAATAGAGGAGAAATGTCAGGTTGTTGTCTATTAGATCCACTGGACAATAGTCCAGCATAGTCTGTAGACGGATCAGTGATTCTTTTACTGAGTGCGCTCAATATATAACTATCTGGATGGATGCCAGCCAGTGCTGCTCATCCTGTCTGTCCAGAAAAGTCTTTTAATCTCTACAACATTAAACTTTCCTCAGTGGCACTCTGCGTGTAAACGCATTGTGCTCCATTAGTTTCCTCAACTTGCTTTTGAATTGAAAGTGATTAACAAGCATATTATTTGAATATGTTGGTTTAATTGACTGAGTCAATTAATTCACAGTTTCCTGGCGAGTTTTCCAAGCCAAAACATATTTGATCAGTCAGTCCTAAAATATTGATAATCGGTTACAATTTTCTTGCCTGTGTTGACAGGTCATAAGAAAGCAGAGTAATAATATTTATAAACATTTTCCTGTGCAGCTAAATAACTGGATTATGGTAGTTTATTTGTGTTGTCCAGTTAATATACATTAAAATTTGGGTGAAAGGCATATCTGTGTAACTGTCGGTTGCAAAATCTTTATTCTGACAATTGGATCTGTATTGCAAAACTAATCAATGTCGCAATACATAAATGCTAGAAGTGGCAACAATAAAAAGGAAGAAATATGTTACCCAAGATGGCAAGTAGCCACTGTAATCTGACAGATGATATCACTCTCCCAGGTTTTATTAGGATGTTATAATTGTGGTAGAGATCTGTGCATGCCGACATCCCTTAATTGCATAAACAAAAGAGCCAACTCCCCTGGGACTTCATAGCCAAAACTTTGTACAATGCATTCTGACCCTACATTGCTGCTGGGATGACAGTGAAATAGACATACTCTGGACAGGAAATTTTTGCACCTGTGACCTCAGCATGTGTGTATCTCCCCCTTCTGGGTGGGTCTCTTTGGTTGATTGACATCATAAAAAAGGACATCTACATGCATTCAGGTTTTTTAAAGTTTGATCTATATGGTTTGATCTATATGGTTTGCAAGTACATTTTTTTTCTCTCTACTGTTCAACCCCTAAAGAATAATCAAAACATGTTTTGGTTCTTCTCATCATCAGGGATTCACTGTTTTTAAGTTTGCAACAGGAATGTTATTCTAAATCACCCCGGGTTGGGGCGAATGGGTATTTCTGATTAATTCAAGGCACTTGAAAGGTATGGTTTTATGTAATCAGCTGTGCTGCCATGTATTTTTCGTGGATTTGATCATGCGATTTTAGTGAATAAAAATGAAGACCAATATTTTATGTATATGAATGGTAATATGTTTTTGCCTATAAATTTAGTCCCATAAGAAATTGGTTCTTTTGTTTAGGTTTTATTGGGGGGGGGGGGGGTAAATGTGTACAAACACATTTTCTTATTTTAATGTAGCAGTATAGCTATGTAAACCCAAACCTATTTCTCAATATATTTAACATCATGTTTTACTTACAGTATATACAGTTTTGACAAACTTATTTATGTGAATCTCTCTTTTCCAAAGGGCCTTATCTGGAGATCCTGCCAAGTTGACAATGCTAAGCATGCCTTGCAATCTGTGGCAGCGTTATCAGCCTGCTGTATGCACTATTTCATTGGGCTGTTTGGTCTATCAAAACCTCCAACTGAAAGAGCAGTTTGAGAAAACTGTGTACACTGAGGCATGATGTCAAACATACTAAAAATAGATTTAGGGTATTTTATACCCTTTAAGACCTTGTCAGTGTGCTTTCTATATTACCAGCTCCTTTGATTGTGAGTTACATGAGCATCTGTAATGAATGTTTGTTTTTAATTCCTTCTCCGCAGCTAAAAGCAATCTTCTCTAATCAAGGAAAATTTGAGTACTAAGCCAAACTTTATTTTCTTGTGTAATTGTTAAACACACAGAAGCAAAACTTCAGTACAAGCTAAAATGTTTGGCTTACAACTTGTATAGAATGTTACTTTTTTTTTCTATATACAATAAGCCCTGATTCATACCAATGCGACCCCAAAGTAATGCGACTTTGAGGTCAGACTGTGTTCTGCCACCTCATTGCGACTTGCTCCCTACTCAGTGCAACTTCAATAACACGTCATGCAAACGCAATGAAGTTGCACAAAAATTGTGCTGGAACCTTTTTTTGGAGTCACAGCGATTAGAAAGGGCCTTTGAAAGACATGGTATGCAACTTTTGAAGTTGCAAGTCGTATTTGGTGTAAACCGGGCCTAAAAGTGATTGATTGTATATATATTTATCATGGAATCTCATGTTTTGCCAACTGGTCAGCTCTCTGTTCAACTAAATCAGTCATTAGAAAAAGTTACTTTCCCTGAAAACCATATTAGAATTGCCAGCACATCCAGAGATGGACAAATCTGAATTTATATACTGGCACCACCCCCCTCCTGCCTTCATGGGCTCACTTGTGGTCACTGGCCTCACAGGGTAAAGGTTACTGTATAGAAGCAAATACAGCATGCTTTCAGGTGCATTCATCTTCTGTGGTGCTGGTGCACAGGGTCCTGGTCAGGTCACTAGCTAGTTCTGGCTAGTGGGAAGAGATCTACCCTCCTGTTAGTAAGTAGAGAACCCCTTAAATGGAACATGCATCAGGTCACCTGAACCCCCATGTTGCATGGACCCCTGGTGCATGGTGAGATCATCTGATCTATTACCTATAACAATGAAGAAATACAAGGCTAGATGAAGTTCCTAGATGATTTGTGGGGCCAGTGTGCAGTAGACCATGGGTAGGGTGTATTGGGGTTTTCAAACCGTCCATACACAGGAAGGCAGACAGTTCTGGTCTGTGTTTTGCTTTGGGGTGAGACGGGACAAGTGGTCCAGCCCATTAGTAGCCCTGCCTAAATGCAGTTGACTTCTAAGCTGCTTCAAGCTCCTTTTTTGTTTTGTTTTTTTGCATTGAGACAAAAGCAGTTCTAACATGAACAAAGCCCATGTATAGGTCAGGCTTACAAATGGGAAGGGTGAAGGCTGACATGGTGAAAGTTTTAAAAGTTTCCTTGTTGACACATATAAGGATTGATAACATAGCCACACTCTTGAGCATCTGTGGCGTAAGACTAAGTCCCAGAAATACTTCAATATAAATCTGCCCTCCAGAAATACTATTTCTGCCTCCACACTGCCAAGCAGACCTATTTCATTACTCTCATTAACACTTTCTCATCCAATCCCTGTCAACTGTTCTCTACCTTCAACTCTCTTCTTCATCCTCCTGCTTCCACCCACTAACTCACTCACTGCCCAGGAGATTGCCAATCACTTCAAAAATTAAATCAATACAATTCATGATGCAATCTCCAACGCGCAGATATCTCCTCTACTTAACACTCCACATCCACAGGGACAATCACTACTTCCTGCATTCAACCCTACTACTATAGACAAGGTTGCTAAACTTTTTTTCTATCGCCCACCTAAACATGTGCCCCCTGGACCCTGTTCTGTTGAATATGCTACAGTCACCCTCTGGCTCTATCGTAACTCTCTATCTTCAATCTTCAATCTCTCCCTCTTCCGGCATCTTTCCCAATTCTCTAAAACATGCACTAGTCACCCCCATACTTAAAAAGCCCTCACTAGACCCCACCAATTTTAACAACCTACAACCCATCTCCTTACTCCCCTTTTCCTCCAAACTCCTTGAACATCTGGTCAACAACCAGCTGAACAACCACCTCACTGAGAATAACCTGTCTTCCCTTGTGTTGTAAAGTGCTGTGTAAACTGTTGGCGCTATATAAATCCTGTATAATAATGATTAATAATGATAATAATTTTTCTTCCAGACCATAAGAGAAATCTTTTTTTTTTTTTTTTTTTTTTTTCTTTATTTCATTGTACTCAACTTCACCATTTTGCCCCATTAGTTCAATAGTTCTCCGCTTGGGCAGAAAATGCAGTTGAATTAAAATGATACAAAATATATCTGATTACCGGTGTAAATATTGGCAGCGATTACTTACATCAGAAGCTAGAACAGCCTGCGCTGGATGAGGTAAAGAGGTGTGTGTGTTTGGTTTTTTTTTTAATCTTGCCAGTTTTTCTCAGATGAGAAATGAAGTTTTATCTGAGATGATTTTGGGAAGGGCGCAGATGAACTGCATTATACATTTGCATAAAAAGGTCATCCTTGATGTGTAGTAATGTAAAATCTGGTGTGTTGCGAAATGTACATAATCCACATGGGAAAAGTGATCATGTCACAAGCTAGCACAACCGGGCTGTCCAAGGTGATGGTTTTCTGTCTCAGCAGCTGATCTTTGATAAGATCTACAGTTTTTTATCCAAGTTAAATTTGGGAGGATCATCTATGAAATACATTATTCTGAGGCTCCATTAGAAAGTATTCCACAGACAGGAAGTGAAGAATAATCTGTAAAAGGGACACAGACAGAAATAAAAATTTTGCCAAGGGGTTCTAACCTTTTCCAACTCTAAGAGAAGCTTTTTTTTTTTTGTCTTTATTGCACATTTTCCTCAGTTCCTGTTTGATAAAACCGTGTTAGTTCAACAGGAAGTGAGGGGAACTCTCTC